TATCTATCTATCTATCTATCTATCTATCTATCTATCTATCTATCTATATGTATACACACATATATTTTGAAGGAGTGTCTTCTAGAAAGGTATGGCACAGTCTCCAGCATAAATCCCTGTTTTGAGTCCTAAATAAAGAACTTGGGTGAAGGGGAATACCTTGTACACCTGCTGTTTCCTCCACCTTAAGTAGAAACCCTCACAAATGTGTCTTGTTGGATGCCAATGACTGGTTGCCCGGGATATAAGTTGAAGAGTTTGGCTCTTCCTGTGCCTTAGGCTGTTGAATAGTAGACACATAGTTCGGGGATTTGGACCTGTGCTCGCTGTGTTGGTCAATCATTGCCTGCTCCTCAGTTCAATTTCCTCATTTGTAAAATGGCAATAATGATAATTCCTACCTAACTGGGTTGTTGGGATGAAATAATATGAGAGTGTTTTGTTAAGTGCAGACAGGAGGCATTATTTGTGATGCCCCTAGATGACCATAGATGGGAATTAACCTGATTCAGAAAATGTTTTCTTGTTCCCTTCTGGCCTTGAGGAAAAGATGAGGTACCGTAAACAGTGTTAATGGAAACCTGGAGTAGTATTTTACACACAATTATGCCATGTAGGGCTGTGTCCACACAATGCCCAAAGGCAAGCCAATTCAATTAGACAGCTGGGTGCGCTGGAAAAAAAGTCCCTGTAGAAGGAAGGGGTTTGCACTTTGAGTTTGCACACTGCCCTCAGCTAGTGACCGGACCTTAGATAAAACTCTTAACCAACCCCCTGGGACCTCAGTGTCCTGGTCTACAAATATCCACTCTGACCGAACCAAACATTAAAAGCCCAAAGTGGCACAAAGAACAAGGAGTCTTTGAGGCCTTGAACTTAATATTAACCCTACTTTGATTATATTAGCTAATTTATAAGATATAGCATTATTGCAAAGCTTCATAAAAAAGAGAACGAGAACATCTAGGCATGTCTCTGAAGCTGCGCTGAAATCCAGAGTGTCAGGGAGGTGTGTGCTTATGGGGCAGGGCATGGCGAGGAGACCTGAGCCGACAACCGACCAGGGAGAAAGGCGTACCAATGGGAAACTTCAACCACATTTTTAAGCATTAAAGTATGATTCTTCATGGAATAGCTTGCTGTAGGAAGACTCACAAGATGACAGCTGCAGAATACAGCCCAGTGAAGCTAGCCCGGCAGATGCCAGAGAGTCACTATGTGCTCCTATTTAGGGGTATTACTATTGTGTTCTGCCTCTTCCCTGCACTTGGCCTGCTTTCCTTCTGCCTGGGACAGCCTCTCTTCCATGCTTTGCCCGTTTGTCTTCCTAAAGTTTGGGCTACGCTTTGATCAATATTTTCAAAATTATAGGCCATTTTGCACACCCTCTGTTTTCTGCCTGCCATTTTTATTAGTCATAATTTTCCCAAAAACGGGTTCCTTTACTTTTTATTTTTGTTATTGTTATATGTAGAAGGCATCTTGCTATGTGGCCTAGAGGAATTTGCAATTCCCTTGCCTCTGCCGTCTGAGTGTTGGGATTTTAGGCATGAGTCATCATACCTGACTCTATATGATTGCTTAATTCTTAAACTTTATTTTAAAAGTAAGCCTTCTACTATTGTAAGATTGAGACGTGGAGCTTTGTATGAAAACACAAAGTTTAGGATACTACATTATGATAACGTAATAGGCAGGCTAATCATCACTCAGTAGCTGTGGATGTGGAACCCTTCTGAGAAATGATGCTTACAATCAGGATGTATTTTATAGTACCTTTCTTTTATATGTCTTCAATGCCTTCCTACATGGAGGCATGGCAACTAGTCTTCCTTATTAATCAGAATAGTAGCTGGGAAAATTCTCAGCAAAGCGTAGCCATTCCTCCCTTGTAGGTACTTGACACTTCACTCCTTGATAGCCACACATGACTAGCATCTCATTCACCATGCCTGGAGTGTGATTCAGACATATCACGCATGTTTCCACAGGAAAAACATGTCAACATGGTTCACATTGAATCCAGGAGATCCCGGCGAAGAAGTTCTGAAGTTGAAATCTTCGTGGACTGCGAATGTGGCAAAACCGAGTTCAATGAGCTCATCCAGTTGCTGAAATTTCAGACCACCATCGTGACCCTGGATCCGCCTGAGAGCATTTGGACCGAGGAAGAAGGCAAGGGGGATTTCCGTTTTTCTTGCTTGTTGTGTGCTTTTGCAGTCTGATGAATGTCACAGAGGGAAAGGCAGGGCCGGCGAGCTAATACTGTTGAACCTGCGCTGTTTCCAACAGAACTGGAGGATGTGCTGTGGTTTCCGCGGAAGATCTCGGAGTTAGACAGGTGCTCGCGCAGAGTCCTCATGTACGGAACCGAGCTTGATGCGGACCACCCAGTAAGTGCTTCACAGGATCCCCTTCAGCTGTCCTCTCCCGGCGCTGCCCTGTGCCAGATGCTGTGTGTGCCGTGTTCTGCGCTGTAATTTCCTATCTATATCCCCCCCGCAGCTGAGAGCAGACTTTCAAATGATTAAGCTTCCCTGTACATGTGTTGGCTGGAAGGAGGTCAGAAAGATGGCATTTTCACTTACAGTTTATTTATAAAATAGTTGGTTAGGGGAGGAGAGTGTACGCCTCGGAGGATATTTCTGTGGAATTAGACAGCCTAAAATATACCTGCAGATGGTGACCCTTGGAAGAACGATGAACTGAAAATTGATCACACCTTTGGGAAGCTAGGGAGGACCGGACGTGATGGGGGCTCGGTGAGAGAATAAAACTCTTGCCATTTTCCTTGACTGGAGGTAGTTAGGAGCTGAGTTATATGCTTGACTTCAGTCTCGACGGAAAGGCAGAAGGGCTTTAGAGCAAGGCCGTGATGGAAGAGGCATCCTTCCCACAGCCTCTCCGAATCTATCTACCATTTCCTCCTCTACTCCAATAAAAGTGACCACCTTTCGAGAAATATGACACTTGGGTGAGCATTTCCCACCTTTCCCCCCGCCCCATTTTATATCAGTTTTTATTTAACACAAGAGACCCGGAACTTCTTTATGGCCAGAATGAAGTACAACGAAGTAAGCAATACACACATTCATTATGAGCGTCCTTCTCTCCCCCGCTGTCTAGAAGTGGGCGGATAGAACAGTGAAATCTAAGCGGATCCGTCATGCTTAGTGGAAGAAAGCCTTTGTGTTGGGAGGGTAATGGCTTGCAGAAACTCACACTGTTGAAGGTGGAGAAAATCTGAGAGTGCAATTATATATTGTACCCTGAATAGTGGTGCCTAAGTGTGAGCGTAGACTCGGCAGTAGCAACAGCCTCTGCGACCTCACTTTAACCAACGCACACTTCTTCAGTTCGGGATCCACGGGCAAGTTCAACACGAACAAACTTTTATGCAAAGTAGTCATTTGGCGCAATGTACCAATTCAAACATGCCGTTCAAATAATGGTTCAGCACACTTAATAGTGTTGCATTATATGTAACAAGCTGAAATAATGCATACACAGTGTGTTGTGTTTGCAGCATAGCATAGACATTCACAGTCACAGTGCTTCACACAACAGCCATGGAAAACCCATTAAAACAGTGGCTTTAGTCATCTTTACTAAAGGCTTTAATTATTTCCTCTCTCTTACCCAGTTTCAGTGGGACTGGAATTAGTGCCCACTGATTTAAATGATTTGGAGGATGGATACTGCATGGATACCAGCTGCTATTGCAGAATGACCTTGGTGAGGTCCATGGACCTCTGCACCTTAGGGTTCTCTAATGTAAAAAGCGGAAATAGCAATTCTTACTGACCTCAAAGGGGTGTTTGAACTACTTCAGAAAGCAACCGGAAGGCAATTTGGCCAACAGGAAATGCTTAAATTCAGCGAGGGAACTGTCGTATTAAACCATCCAGATCAATATGGAGACAGTAGAGGTGCTTTTGAGGACCTCCCACTTCTACAAGCTCCCTTAGTGGAGGTTTAAAAATCACTTACCCCGGAGGAAGGAGTATAGCCATTTGGACGAAGCCACTGCAGGAGCCAGTGACCTTGCTGTGAACAAGAGGTATTCCAACATCAGGAGTACATTTTTTTCTGGGCTTAATTTTATTCCATTACTCCCAATTACACCTGCTTTATAATACCTTCACTTATTTTCTGTGCAGCCACTTGAAATAATTACAAGTACTTAGCCATCCCCTACGTCTCTTGCCATTTTCATAAGCGCACCAAATGTTCATTATGCAAAATCTGATATTGGTAAGCTAGTGCTTTGTGAGTTTTTATTTGATGTGGATGGGAGGGGGTTGTCTAAGCACTTCTTACATCTGAGAATGATTAAAGTTGTAGGAAAGACAGAGGGACTATTGCCATGGGACAGTTCAGGGAGGACTTGGAACATACATCACGCTGTGTTGTGGGATATTTTTTTAAATAGGCAAAGATGTGTTACATTTGTTTATACTGAAGAATATTACCTTTACTGTGTAAAGGTTACTTTTGTTTGTGCTGCATTTGTTTAATGATGTAAGGATGCGTGTTTAATTATGAAAAGATGTGTTGCATCTGTTTCATCTTTATTAGACCAATCAGTTGCCCTAATAAAGAGCTGAACAGCCAATAAATAGGCAGGGAAAGGATAGGTGGGGTTAGCAGGCAGAGAGAGAATAAATAGGAAGAGAAATCTAGGCTCAAAAAGAAAAACGAGGGCTGGAGAGATGGCTCAGAGGTTAAGAGCACTGGCTGTTCTTCCAGAGGCCCTGAGTTCAATTCTCACCAACAATATGTTGGCTCACAACCATCTGTAATGAGATCTCGTGCCCTCTTCTGTCCTGCAGGCAAACATGCGGGCGGACCACTATATACATAATAAATAAATAAATAAATAAATAAATAAAAATAAAATCTTTGGCTTTTTGGGACCCTAGCCTGTTTGGATGCACACCTTCCTAGAAGACCTGGATGGAGGGGAGAGGGCCTTGGACTTCCCACAGAGCAGGGTATCCTGCCTTCTCTTAAGGAGGGAGGGGGAGGGGGAGGGAGGACGGTGAGTGGGGGAGTGGGAGGGGAATGGGAGGAGGGGAGGAAGTGTAAATTTTTGAATGAAAAAAAAAGAACAGAGAGGAGAAACAAAAACAAAACAAGAGAGAGAGAGAGAGAGAGAGAGAGAGAGAGAGAGAGAGAGAAGGAGAGAATGAGGGACATGCCCGGGGCAAGAAGCCAGGCAGGTGCCAGCCAGCACACATAGAGGAGGAGTGAAAGTAAGACACAGAGAAGAAAGGTAATAAACCCCAAGGCAAAAGGAAGAGAAAGAGAAAGAGGTTAATTAAGTTAAAAGAGCTAGCCAGAAATGTGTATAAGCTAGGGCAAGCATTCAAAACCAATGGTAAGTCTCTGCGTCGTGATTTGGGAGCTGGTTGGTGGCCCCAAAGAAGCAACCTGGTACCGTGCTGCTTTGAGAAAGTGTTAAATACACGGGCCCGCGGCTCTCAAATCTTAATAGACAAAGAAATTGCCTGCGGAATACTTTGAAATACAGTGATTCACTAGGGCCGAGAGTCTGCATGTCTTGATAGCTCCCAGGTGAGGCTCACACTGGAGGATATGGATCCAGGGATTCTGACTGGCCAGGGCCTAGACTGGGAGGGTCTTCCAAGGTGTGGTCCGAGATTCACTCTTCTGATATTTTTAAAAATATGAAACCTCAAGATGCTCCCCAGAAGCTCAGGGAAGGAGGCTTTCCACCAGCAGACTGGGTGGTGGTGGGGGTTTGTGTGGAAAGGATCTATAGCAGATTTCATGGGGTCCAGGTGTGAGAATTAGCATCCCTAGCCCAGCGGGGCTCAGCCAAAGCAACCCACTTCAATCATCTGTGGGGGAACTAAAAAAAAAAAAAAAAAAGTACGTCCTCGCTCTTCAGAACTTAAATCAGAATCTCCGGGAGGAAGGGCCAGGTTTGAAGTATTATTAAAATGACCCCAAGTGGTTCTAATATCGCACCAGGGTCGAGCTGCTGAGATGCCTGCTTGAGTTGCCTCATAAACTGAACTGAGCACATTAGGGCTCAGGCTGAGTCTTCAGTTCACTTTGATTTAATTTGGGGTTCGGATTGTACAGAAGGCCCTCTCTAAGTACCAGGGTCACCAGAGTTTTACAAATAAATATATAAGGCTGCCCAGGAGAATTGGAAAAATTTGTCACTTATCGGAAATTGAAATTGAACTGGGCATCTTGTATTTTTATCTGGTACCCTACCCCTGGCTTCCGTCCAGAATGGGTAGCCAAAGCGTGTGTGGAGTGGCTGGTTCAGCTAGCTAGTGCCTCTTACTGCGCCAGTCCGTGGATGAATCCAGGGCGCTCTGGATGCCCCACACACTTTGTAATCACTGCCACTCTAGGCTAATGAGCCGTGATGAGCAAATCTCTCTCTTGCGTCCCTGGAAAAGGTGCAGGTGTTTGCTGAGGCAAGGGTTGAGAATCTTCTGGAAACCAGCAGATTATGATGCGGTTGCCATGGTGTCCAGCCTGGCAGGAACCAGGGGACAGATGCTATGCTTTTCATGGGACTCTTTTTCCCTTTTTCCTGGCCTACTTTCATTTCGAATCATGAATGTGCTTGGAATTCTTCGGCTTTTCCACCCCAGGTAGCCGGTTTCACTAGTGAGTGAGGAACCCACTTTCCAGCATGATTCTGTCTACCCTCTACAGCAGGAGACCTTTTATTTAGGCCAAAGGCCCATTTGTAAATGTGGTAACTAGAGTCACAAGTTTTGTCTATAGGCATTTTAGGGTTTTACAAGCCTGCCTACAAGCCTTTGTTTAAACGATCTGAATTCCAGGCCCAAAGAGGGGGAAAACGCTGGCTACTGTGTGTGGGTTTCCTCATTTTTACAGAGTCTTAGCATGATCTGAGGTGGTATTTCTCTCCCTCCTCCATTGCTAACTCTGGCTATTCCAAAAAGAAAGGTAATTCTTCAGTTATGTCCAGCACACAGCCCCATGAGGATTTCTGGCCTTGAGTCTCATTCTCTTTCAGCTAGATAAGAGAATCAGGTTGTTTTCTAGTGAGTTTGTGTTCCTTTTGAACATCCCACTTTGCAGAAATGTCTGTATTGTTACTTTGGCAGGTAGACCCTTGTGGGCACCTCCTTTACCTACCGTTGAATCTTATAGACCCTGTAGACTACACTCCTGCTTGTCCTCTGTTTGTGGTAGAACTCCTGGCCACTCTTGGTGGTATAGGCTTAAAGAAGTAGGCACAGTTCCTCCAGGGCTTTTGATGCCTTGAAGAAACAAATCCAGAAAGAATCAGTTGTCTTTGTATGAAAAGAAAAGGAAAAATGAGAAGCCCTTTGATGTGAGGAGAGATGGTTCAGTAGACCGGGAAGTAGAACAGGGAGACCTGTCAGGAGTTCATGGGAGTGAAATGACAGACTCAGTATTTAATTTCCCAAGTGGATGAGGTTATAGAAAAATTTTTTAAATTATAATTTGAAAATTTAGATAAGAATCTGGCAGTTGGCTAAGACACATTAATGACGGAGAGTCCCTCAGTGGGATGAATGGAGCTAGCCTGCCCTTGTGCATGAAGCTAGTCTTAGTGTTGCATGGTGTGATCATAAAGTACAGCAAAACCTCTTTAATTCGTGCTAATTTGGGGATTTGATAATTACTCGGAGCGACCGAGTCTGTAATAGATGTTTCATTTATTAGTTATTTACACATAGCAATTAAAATTTGGTTGAACGCGTCAAACCTGTTTTAATGAATAGCTAAGATTAACCAGTTATTAAGATCAATTACTTGTAAATGATACTTGAAAACCTAGAGATACTGTGGAAAATATTAGTTTACTTAACTAAGCCCTGCCACTTGCCTAGTGGGAAGGTAACTCTGGCCTGAATTCCCACACATCCCAAATTAGTAGACCCAGATTGAAAGAGGTTTTACTGTAAACACAATTCGCCTTGCCTTTGCCGGTGTCATCAAGTCGGTCATCTGAGGATAAGATTTACATTTGAATTGAACACTCAATAAACACCACAGTGATTTTCTTTTAGGCCTTCTGCGGCTAATTTTTCAGCACTCTGTTAAGTAACTTAATCTCTTTTCTGTTTAAGGGATTTAAGGACAATGTCTATCGACAGAGGAGGAAGTATTTTGTGGATGTGGCCATGGGTTATAAATAGTAAGTACCTACATAACTCTTTCCTGTCAATGGCTAGTTAGGAAAAGCATGTGCTGTATTTAAACAGCGCTGCCTTCACTTTAACTCTTGCGGAAGACGGGCACGGACCATTTTAAACACTCTCCAACTCCCTTGGCTTTCAATGCTAACTCTGATGTCTGACATCTGGGTGTAATTGTGGGATAATGAGACCTGTGGGCCTCATGCCAAGTGCTACATTGACGACAACCCCTGCATTTGCAGCTCCATTAAGGCAAGGAGCCATTTCCGCTCACTCTGGCAGGCTTGAAAACCCTGCTCCCGTTTTCCTTTGACTTTTCAATAACTCATTTCGGCGTCCCAGCTTTCCCAATAAAAGGAGAGAATTAGGCAAAAATGGGCAAAGGAATCCTGTAAGCAGCCAGCCTGGAGCTAAAATGTGCTTGCTTTTCCGTGGACAGGAAACTATCCTGCAAACTGAAAGGATTATGGAAGAGTTTAATAATCACACCTCAGGACAACAGGGCTGGGGTGATGTTGAAGTGGGGACTGTATTGTAGACGGTGTTCAGAGACAGTGATGGTTGTAGACGGTGATCAGAGACAGTGACAGGTTGAGTGTGTGCACTGTAGACGGTGATCAGTGGTATTGATGACTGAGCGTGTGCACTGTAGACAGTGATCAGTGGTATTGATGGCTGAGTGTGCACTGTAGATGGTGATCAGTGGTATTGATGGCTGAGTGTGCACTGTAGACGGTGATCAGTGGTATTGATGACTGAGCGTGTGCACTGTAGACGGTGATCAGTGGTATTGATGGCTGAGTGTGCACTGTAGACGGTGATCAGTGGTATTGACGGCTGAGTGTGTGCACTGTAGACGGTGATCAGTGGTATTGATGGCTGAGTGTGCACTGTAGACGGTGATCAGTGGTATTGATGGCTGAGTGTACACTGTAGATGGTGATCAGTGGTATTGATGGCTGAGTGTGCACTGTAGACGGTGATCAGTGGCCGTGATGGGCTGAGTGTGTGCACTGTAGAGAGTGATCAGTGACAGTGACGGCTGAGGGTGTAGCTGGCAGGGATGTGCGTGCTTATGATAGGCTCTGCTTGGAACAACAGAGTGAGCGTCCTCGCTGGTACAGCTTTCAGGCTTCCACTTTTTCTGGTTTAGGGTCAGCAATAAGAAGTTTGTCTTCAGGACAAAATGTAAATGCATACCTGGTAGGGGAAAGAATTTTTTCTTACTTTAGTTGAGACTAATTAAGGTATCATTGATGAGGATTTAGGATGCCATGTGTACTATAGAGGGCATCAGTATTGCCTGCCTGCTTTCTTTTTTTTCTCTCTTCCTATTTCTTCTACTCTTTACGCCCTCTTCTTTTCTTTCTCTCATCAGGCAAATAATCTGCTCATTCCTCGCTTCCCTTCGCTCTCTAAAATGTATCCCTCCCTACTCCTAAGGCCCAGGCACCCTTCATCCTTTTACCATTGTGCTTATAACAATGAGAACTGTATGGCAAAGTTTTTCTACAGTATCTACTCTGTTCCAGGCGGTGTATTCCCAGTGCTGTGACTTTCTACATCAACACACGTGACTTGTTGTGGCCCACGCCTAGTCTCACGCCCCCTGTTGCCCTGCCATTGCTCTCTATCCCCATGTCCCAAAGTATCCCAGTCAGCAGGCCGGGAGAGGACTGTGGTGGACTGAAGTCACTGTTAGAGGAAGCTCCAGATGCTGGGCCAAGACAAGCTGATTTGGTGGTGGTATGTCCCAGGGACCACTCATAATAGAGGCATTGGCTCGAAGGAAGTGCATTTATATGGGAAAGAGGGGACAAGTGTTGTCGGGGTTTCTGTCCTGCCACAGTCGTTAAGTCCCAAAGAAATTACACAGAGGTCTATATTAACTATAAACTGATTGGCCCATTATTCTTGTATATGTTAGCCACATGGCTCAGTACCTTTTTTCAGTGAGGCAGCCACATCTTGCTTCTTCTATGGCTGGTCCAGGACTGCAGAGGAATGAGCTTCCTCCTTCCCAGAATTCTCCTGTCCTCATTGACCCGCCTCTACTTCCTGTCTGATTGTCCCGCCTATAGTTCCTGCCTGACTACTGGCCAATCAGCATTTATTTAAAATATAATTGACAGAATACAGACCATTCTCCCATACCAGACAAGGGTTGCAGGGCACTTCCATAGCTAAAGGCCTGAATGACTCAATACTTATAACTGAGTGCTCAGGAGACTGAGCTTGGCATGAAGCTGCCAACTCACCCGCTTCTCAGAGACCAGCCTTATAGAACTCTCTCTGCTATCTCGGGGAACAAGAGGGGCTCTTTGTTCCCACATCAGGGGAGGGCATGCTGTATCTGAGCACTGTTTGGTAGGGTAGAGAGTCAATCAAGGAGTGCTCACCCCAGAGAGTTTGCAATCCAGCAGCATCAAAACCTACCCCTGGGACAGTGTTCTGAGGTTAGACTGCAGGCAGAATCACAAAGCGCTTTGAAGCTGGAGTTGGATGATCTGGGTTGAATGGAGAGCTGGCTCCCCTGTCTCCTCAAGCCCCTTCATCTGCACGGTGTGTCTATCAGCAGGCCCCGTCTGTCTGACAGGATATAGCAGTGATGTAAAAAGATGACGCATGCACTGTGCCTGGCGCCCTGCCTGGACCCCCGATCAAGGCTCAGCGCGTCAGCTGTTATTAGTGTCTTCCTGCTACGCTTTTGCTTGCTCATTAAGATACTGCTGGGTAAACTGATTATTTCTGTGCTGACAACAGTCCTTTTCATGGAGGGATTTCATAAAGAGAGATTATACTCCCATTTTTCACGTGTGAAAGAAGCTGTCAAGATACCGGTAACAAACTGGCAGTTGTCGCGCGTGCTGCTTGGGAAAGGGTAGAGTGAAGAAGTTACTCATGAGTTGCTAAAGCCAGGAGAATATGACCCCAGGGCTTGTGCAGAGCAGAGAGCAAAAGATTTCACTTCAAATGCTGCATTTCCTCATGCTAGAATAGCCAAGGTTTACCCGAGTTTGAGGATGAGCAAAGGATAGCCCACTCTTGTGCAAAGTCGAGTATGTGTATGTGTGTGTGTGTGTGTGTGTGTGTGTGCACAAGTACACATCTGTGTTTACAAGCTCATGTGTTTGGGCTTTCACATCTGCTGTAGTCAGGTGGAGGAGGGGCACAGATACTAAGAAATTCCAAACGGACCTAAGACTCCTTTTTTAAAAAAAAATATCTATCTATCTATCTATCTATCTATCTATCTATCTATCTATCTATCTATTATGTATGCAATATTCTGTCTGTGTGTATGTCTGAAGGCCAGAAGAGGGCACCAGACCTCATTACAAGATGGTTGTGAACCACCATGTGGTTGCTGGGAATTGAACTCAGGACCTTTGGAAGAGCAGGCAATGCCCTTAACCGCTGAGCCATCTCTCCAGCACCCCCTAAGACTCCTTTTTTTGTTTACAGAAAATGATGGGATTTCTCATGGAGCTAGATGGTTTCTAGTGCTGACGACTGAGTGTGCAATGTTGAAATTAACTAGTACGCCAATGACTTAAAAGAAGGTCCTTCTAGTGTACTTTGACCAGATTTTGCAAGCCCAAATTGGTAGTACTGGTCTGAGGACCAGATTATTTGAAATTGGCGTAGTACTGAAAAAAATAGCGTGCGAGGGACCTGCCAATTGTTTGATGACACAATTAGGATCTTTGGGAGTGGGGTGGAGATGGGGAAATACTGGTCAAGGGGGGTGTTGTTTCTGATTGACTGAAGGGATAAAGTAAAAGTCCCCAAATATCATTTAGAGCCTTTGCTTTGTACCTCCTAAACACAATTATAATTTGTCAATATTCAATAAATAAAAATAGGTACTGCCTGGCATGGGGAGAACAATTTGACCTCAGTGATTAGGCAGGGCATCCTGGACTCTGGGGCGCGGTGGTAGGTACATGGTCAGAAACACTGAAAGTGATGGAGTACAGGTGGTTTGAGGTTTTGAAGGGATCACAGGTTGTAGTCTGAGGAGGGTCTCGGCTAAGAAGCAGAAAGAGAAATGAGATACAGAATAATATATATTGAAAACACAGCCAAGAAGCCCTCCAGGGGACTTGTGTTGAATACTATATTTTTTTTATGATAGTCTTGAAAGGATAAAACAGGGGGGGAGAATCAACACAAGCAGAGAAAAATGAAAAAATTCCACTGTCTGATGAAAAAACAGCAGGGCTCAGAGTCCATATTACCGTGAACTCCAGCGAGGTGAGGGAGCGGAAAAGCGCCCGCATGCTGAGAATTGTCAATAGATGCCACTCGGGCACAGGTCTGATTGACAGCACAGCTGAGAAACTTGATTGATTACCCAGAGGCCCACAGCTGCCCACAGACAGGCCCCTCCACTCAGTCAGTGTCTGCAAGGGCTTAATGGTCTCGCCAATAATAGCCTAGGAAGCAGTCATTAGTGCAAGCTTTATGCCTCATGGCAGACCTGAGAATGAACACCCAGCCCAGGAAGGGCACTGTACGAACCTCTGACATGCACATCACACCCTGTCCTGCGCAAAGAAGCCTAGTATAAGAGGGGAGGATGCCCCTCAATGATGTGATGGGCATGTAGACTTGTAGTTCCAAGGAAATACAAGTGTTTGTGTGTGGAGGGCAGACTGCGTATAAAGGAAGAAAAAGAGGGTGGCTTTGGTGGTGCAGATTCTAGGCGAGTGGGAACCTCTAAGTTTTCTGTCATATTTTAACCCCAGTGAATGTCTGCACTGAATTACTGGGGAGCGAGATTGAGGAAGAAATCAGTAACGCAGTTTTTATTTTATGTTTTTTTCTTAAATTAACCAGCAAATACATTTTTCCCCCCTTGGAGGCTGGTTTAATGATCACTCTTCAACAGTGTGCGTGCATAGTTAATTAAATCATATTTTTCGGTGGGGGTAGTGGTGGTTATTTCCACTTTATTCTCCTGGGAGGAGGCCTCAACCTCCGACTTGCATTATGC